CATAAACAGATTAACCCTTGCCATTGCCCATTCTAATGCAGTATCTATTTTACCTACAAGCCGGTTCCCAAAGGCAAGCCTCTAAATACCATTTTCTAGCCATCACTGGGTAGGTACTTCTAGGGGTTGAGGGGCCTGGTCCTGTGCCCTGGGAAATCTTGCACCCTCAAGCCCCAAGGGTGCCTGCCTGGCTTTCCCCATTTCCAGAGAGGTGCTCCTGGCATTCTCCAGGGCATGTCTGAGTGGGGAAAGTTGGGGTTTCCTGCTTCCAGAGATTCAGAGATGCGCCTCCAGGATCTCCAGCATGCATCTCTGGAGAGATTGCTGGGGGGAAGCGGGGGACTCACTGGAAGTGAGGAAAACCAGAAGACTCCACTGCAGTCCAGGGACTAGGGCCACCATCAACTGATGCATCCTGGCACACTTCATTTGGTGACATCTGTTTCTGGCCTTAGGCACCATCATCAGAAGGAGAGATGGAATTTTGTATGTACCCCTCTTTTTGGGGTTTCTTGTTAATTAGCTGATGAGTCCAGTGCTCCTTTCTGTGGATTCCATTCCTGGAGCTGAGTGCATAAAAGCGAGGCATGGTTACACTCTGTCACTTTGTCTAAGCCCCACAGAAAATGTAGGGATAAACATTTAAAACTTATCAGCCATGCTAAGGGACTTGAAGTTATGGCTGGTGCTGTTCTCTTACCTCTAGTTTGTGTTCGGTGAAGCACATCAATCAGAGTGTAAGCCTGGAAAATGATTTGTGCCATGGTCCTAAGGTTGTTTAAATGTATTTTTCCAGAAATCATACAGTTCTGTTTTTAAAACAATCACTAATGTATCATTATATTACCATGAAATGCAATCACTGTGTATTTGTTTAGTTCTAAGAAGGATTTATTGTATTTTTTCTAGGAAATAAAAAAATGAATTCCTGGTAGCCACGTTAGCAACATATAATTCATATTTTTAATCATAAAGAAGCCTTCATCCCCAGTGAAGAACTGCAGTCCAATAAATGGTTCAGTGACTGTGAGTTAGAAGGCTTGACTCTTTATTCCCTACTTTTGCTCCCAACTGGGTGGATGACTTCTGGCAAATCGTACCTCTCTTTTTCGCTCCATAACAATGCTGTATTACATAAAGCACATCCCTGAATATAATGCATACCCTGGTTTTTCTAGACAGCTTGAAGAAAAAACTGTCCTTACCTTGCAGAGCAGATCCGGGGTCTAACCCTGTATGCTGAGTCTATGACTGCATGCTGAGTCTGGGGTCACCCACTGGCTCCAGAGCCATATGCCAGGTTGGACCCAGCACCTCTAGTCTGGGACTGTACACTAGCTATGGAAACATGTGCTGGGTCTAAACCTGCATGCTGGCTCTGAGGCCATGTGCTAGGTATGCCCATGGACCAACCCTGTATGCCAGCTTGATTTGGCTTGAGGGGGGTGTGCTCCTCAAAGTTCTGGAAATTTGGTGGCGGGGAAAGGTAGCTACATTAACTGCAGTGGCTCCCGGTGCTGTGACAATCAACACTGCCACCATCCCCCTCTTCCCCCACCCCACTGCTTGACCAATGAGGATCCCTTTTTCATGCATATAATGTGTACCCCAATTTTCAGTAGCTGGTTTTGGTGGAAAAGGTGTGAGTTATATGTGAGCAAATATAGTTTCATAGTTGGTAGGGTCGGAAGGGATCTGAGCAGGTCATGACGTCCGACCCCCTGCTGTGGCAGGAAGGAGTACTGGGGTCAAATGACCCCGGCCAGGTGTTCATTCAGCCTCCTTTTAAAGACCCCCCAGGGTAGGAGCCAGTACCACTTCTCTTGGAAGTTGGTTCGAGATCCTAGCCACCCTGACAGTGAAGTAGCGCCTCCTGATATCTAGCCTGAATCTACCCTCTGCTAGCTTGTGACCGTTATTTCTTGTCACTCCTGGGAGTGCTTGGGGGAACAGGGACTCTCCCAATGCCTGCTGGTCCCCTCTGACTAGTTTGTAAATGACCACTAGATCCCCACCTTGTGGAGGCTGAACAGATTCGGGTCCCTTAGCCTCTCCTTGTAGGGCCTGCCCTACATGTGGGTGGCCCTCCTCTGGACCCTCTCCATGCTGTCCACATCCCCCCTGAAGTGCGGCGCCCAGAACTGGATGCAGTACTCCAACTGCAGCATGACCAGTGTCTCATAGAGGGGGAGGACCACCTCCTTGGACGTGCTTGAGATACATCTGTGGATGCATGACAAGGTGTGGTTGGCCTTCCTGACTGCATCCCCACACTGTTGGCCCATGTTCATATTGGCCTCAATAATGACTCCCAAGATCTTTCTCTGCCTCTGCACTGATCTTTCCTGCCTGTGGCAGTGGGACAGACTTGATGATCTACTTAGGTCCCTTCTGACCCTACCAACTATGAAATTATCCACTGAGTCTGTCACATTATCATAAAAGGAAATCAGGTTGGTTGGGCAAGACTTGCTCTTGGTGAATACATGCTGCCTGTTTCTGATCACCTTATTCTCCTCTAGGTGCTTCATAATAGATTCACAATAAGTATTTCACATTGAGGGCCTGTCCATGATCTTTCCAGGTATCAAAGTCAAGCACACCTTGTGCTGCTGCTACTTGTCCCTGGGGAATGCCCGTGCCAAGTGCGCTCTGATGTGAGGCAGGTTACCTCAGGTGGGGTAGGGGAGGCTGTGCTAGCCCCAGCAGCCTTACCTGGGGTCCTGGAGGCCTCTCGGGGCTGCAGCAGGAAGCCTGGCTGGCAGCTGGAGCATGGCTCTACCTGGTCAGGCTCCAGTTCTGGCCAGTGCTTGCTGCCACTGTGTGCCCCATCCCACTTTTTTTGGCATGGGATTTTTTGACCTCGGGATGTCCTGGGGTCAAAAACCCTCTGTGCTGCAAGGTAGCAGTGCAAGGAATGCCTGAATGTGCGGTTTGTGATGCTGCACACAGGTCTGTGGCACCATATACCACACATCCACGTTCTCCTGGACATGGCCTTTAAGTCCTCTGGGACCTCACTCAAACTCCATGACCTCTCAAATAGGATAGCCAGTGACTGAAATTGTTTCATTCAATTCCTTGAGTACCCTAGGGTGCATTCTGTCACAACCCAGTGATTTTTGGTGCCTCGGCACAATGGGATTTTCTTGCCACATGAGAGCCTCTTGCACAGCGAGGGTTTTGCTGCACAGAGAAACCTCGGTGCAAGAGAGTTCCCGCCAATTTGCAGCCTTCTTTGCAGGATGCATTTCTTCTTTGCAGCACAGAGATGCACGGTGCAAAGAGTTCCCGCTATTTGAATGTAAATTTGTGTCCTGCTATTGGCCAGTGCTAAATTATTCACACGTGGCGGCTAGTAATTGGCTCGCTGGCCGTTTAAAATTCCGCGCGACTTCCGCCCAAGTCGAAGAGCTTTGAGCACGCTGCAGAGTGCCTCTGAAGTGATCTGACTTGTGGCTGCCGATCGATAGACTGATCACCTATCGATCTTTCTTCCCGTCACCGAGCGCAACCCCAGACGTACCCCTTTCCCCGCCGGCTTCGAATTGCGGACGGATTAACTGGCTTGGGCCCCGCCAGCTGGAACAACTCGTGTGGTTGTTCAGATGACCGGACCACCTGCGTCGTGATTGCAAGCGGCGTGAGTAAAGTTTTTTGCAACTGATAAGTTGTGTCTGCCTCTCCATTCACCAGCCCAGCCTAACGTACGAGCAATCTCTGAATCACCTCGGGTCGGCTCTGGCCGTCCGAGACACATTCCATCTGGCCTTGCCAACTTGAAAGTATCTAACTTCTCAAAGACCCCTGCCAGATGTGCAGGTAAAGGCATGATGGGACCTGATACACACCATTGCACTTCCTGCCATACAAGACATGCATAGCAGGAGGTGTGATTGTGGGATCAAGCATCAGATCCCATCATGCATTATTGCTGGTGCACCAGCAAGTAGGAAACTCCCGTGTCTAGGATCCCCTTCAGCTCATGGGGCTCCCAGCTGTGAGGGTGCACCATCCTGGATCAGCTGACAAGGGTCTCAGCTGCAGGAGCACATGGTGCACCCTCTGGCCAGGAACCCAATCAGCTATGGGCTCCCAGCCTAGGAGGCATATGATGCATCCTCTTTAGTTGGGAGCCCAGAGCTAGTGGGGTCCCCAGCTGCAAGAGCATTTGTTGCACCCCTGTGCTGGGAGCCCTATCAGCTGACAGGCATCCCAGCCATGGGGGTACACCTGGCCACACGTTCAGTTAGTGGCATGATAGGAATCAGCCACAAAATTATTACACCTTTTTTGTGGAATAGCTTTGTGGCTTATTTCTTGTTTTAGGACACCATTTTTTTTTTTTTGTGTGGCTGGGTTACAACTTAAGACGTGATTCACTTGTTAATCATGTCTTAAGCGTAGTATGTGGCAGGGGCCTAAGTAAACATCAACCTGTCCTTCTCCTGCTTTAGGCTGTTTGTCTACTTCCCTATCTTTGCTGCCAACTGCCCTTGGCTTGTGGTAACTGCCCCTGTTTGTGAAGACTGAAGTAAAAAAGGCATTAAATACTTCAGCCTTCTCTGCATCATCTATAACTAGGTCGCCTTCTGCATGCTGTAAGGCATCTATGGTTTCCATGGTCTTCCTCTTACTTATGACATACTTGTAGAATCCCTTTTTATTGCCTTTTATGTCGGTTGCCCATTGCATCTTAAATTGTGCTTTCGCCTTTCTAATCTTCTCTCTGCATACCCATACAGTTTGTTCTGGCTCCTTTTGAAGATTGGGTGTGGCATGGGAGGAAGGTTATCTCTTTCCCCTTTCTGCTTTCTTTAATAAATCGCTAACTCCTGCTAGGTCATATTAGTGGGGCAAGGGAATGAGAGAAAGATAAAACAGATGACTTCATTGTTAAATAGCTGTTCCTTTTGAAAAACAAAACACAGAATTCCGAACTGAACCATATTTGAAACTTTACTTTAATTTGTTTTTTGTCTTGTGTTTTCTGTTGCTAGCTACTTATGGTAAGAAAAACTGAACATGCCTCGCAGTCCAACATCAAGTGAAGATGAGATGGCCCAAAGCTTTTCAGACTATTCTGTTGAATCTGAATCAGACAGCTCCAAAGAAGAAACTATTTATGATACTATTAAGGCTACAGCAGAAAAGCCAACCAGCAGAATGGAAGATAATCATAACAACACATTAGTGATACGGATAATAATACCTGACCTACAGCAAACGGTAAGGAAATTGCATTAAAAGTCTTTTTAATATTGGGCTAGATCCTCAACCAGGATAAAATGCAATTAGTGAAGTTATGTCAGTTACTGAAGAGCATACCTATTTACATATATTTTGAAATATATGAGTTTTCAGGGAACGGGGAGGCTGCTTTGACACATTGTAATTCCAGCACATCAAAGCACACTCAGTTAATCACTGAAATTAAGGATGTATTAACAAATATCAGCCAACCAGCCAAAGAATTTAAAATTGTCTGACTAATCTCTATTTCTTTTCATGGCTCTGGATTAAGTTACCTTTTTTGCCTGGTAGCATAATTCCACCAATTCCCCTGTGGCCTACAAAGTAGCAGAATACATGAAGACACAAAAAGCAGGTTTTTTAAAAACAAAGAAACTGGATTTTTCTTATATCAGTGGGTGTGTCTACACATGCATTTGATCCAAGATCAATTTATTTGCATGTAAACTACTCGTGAGTAAACATTCCCGGGCAGGTGTCTACACATGCAGGGAAGCATCCTTATCTCTCAGCTCAAGCTCTAGGGTTGTGGGACCCAGACTGAGAGATCCTTATCTTCCAGCACAGGCTCCATGATTGCAGGGCTGGCACTGAGAGATCCTTTTTTTTGCAGCTTGAGTCCTATGGTTGTGGAGCCCAGGCTGGGAGATCCTTCTCTCTCAGTGCCAGCTCCATGATCATGAGGCCGGCGCTTGGAGAAAAGGATCTCCCAGCCTGGATCCTGCAACTGTGGGGTTTGGAATGGGAGATGAGGATTTCCCAGGCCCAACCCCATGATCTCAGAGCATGGGACATTGTCCTTGCACCCTGGCAACAGGCAGCTCCTGGGGGCAGGAAGCAATTTCCTGAGCATATTTGCTCATGGTCAGGAGTCTACACATGTGCTACTGCGCAGTTACTAATCACGAGTAAATTTGCTACTTGAATTTTTAGGTAGCAAATTTATTCGTTATTAGAACCAGTTGCTGCACAGTAAACATCTGCACATGTAGACATAGACACTTACTGCACAGTAATTAGCTCTACTGCTCAGTAAAGCATCTTGTGTAGATGCATCCTGTAGGAAGCTGAAAAGTCAGAAGCCCAACTTCAACTTCCTCACTCCCTTTTACAGAATCTGCCAATGGCATATTCCCTGTGATTGAACCCAGAATAGGTGCAAAAAGGGAAAAGACAAATGTAATGAAAGTTCATTTTCAGTATGAAAAGAAGGGCCTTTCTACAGCCAGGGAGGGATGGACTAGAAGAAGTATCATAAGGTATGTCTCTACGGAACAGGATAATGTCATCATATAGAGCTTACCTGAGTTAGCTCTGCCTGTACCAGAATCAGAAGTAATAAAGCCAACTATGTAGGATAAAGAAGGAGATTGTGGGAGAGGAAGGGAAATTTTCTTCATGGTTGCAGTAAGGCATGCTTCAGACTTTTGTTTGAATTTTGACTAAATGTAGTACTGTTCTGTTTGACTTTTAAAGGGTATCAAAAGTAAAAGTATATATTTTTCTGGCTTAAAGTCTTCCAGCTTGGTATGGCTTCTGCAAATCTACCATTTTGTAAAAAATGGGGTATCTTAATCAATCTTAAGCTTAATTATTTTTGCACCATATTAATACTAGGGCATTGTAGTATGGCTCCATTAGATTTTTTTCAGCATGAGAATTCAGGCCCTGGGCCTAGTTCTGATTTACACAGTCAGAATCCTGCACCTGAGCACAGCCCCATTGTCTCACACACTTAAGTATTGTTTAAATTAAATAAGTCTGGACCAAGAATAGATTTTGTAAATGTAGGCCATTTTGCTGCCTCAGTAGAACTGCTTTGCCTACAAAAATTCTGTGCAGGAGAACAATGGAAAGCAGGCTATTGTGCTTTGTTAGCAGGCTACTGTACTTTGCTTAGTAATGACATTTCAAAAGGTTGTTTAGTAGTGACATTTCAACACCATTTAAAAGTGCTGATGAGCTTCCACAGCATTTCCCTGCTTGTAAGCAGTTGTCATAGATTTAATATAAATATTTTCATTTTTTCCTCACCTTTTCTACTTCCTGCTTAGCAGATACATGTAGCATAGCTGAAGGATTTGAATTCCATTCATAACTATCCTTTGTTGTTAGAGAAAAAGAGAAAGAGGTACTATTTGTGTTGAAGAGCTTTCAACTTCTGAATTATTTCTTAAATTCTAATACTAACCCTCTTCAATGACACTTTGTACTTCTATTTATTCTCATCTCAGGACACTTTATGAACATGAGTGGGCAAGATTCTGCCTTCAACTATTCCATATTAAAGTATAATTGTCCCAAAATTGTCCCTAAAGTAACCATTTGAGGTAGATTAAAAGAACATTTTGGCAGAAAGAATCTGTTTTCTCCCAAAATTTGGCTTATTTTCAAGAAAATTGAAAACACTAAAACTATTGTTTGGGTTTTCACTTTTTACAAAAATGAAATCTTACCAATAGTCATCAAAATTCTCCAGCTTTGTCAGTAGCTCTATAGCAGAAATAGGTTCAATGTATAACCCTCCTTTGATGTAAACTAAACAGTAAACAGAGAGCAGTGGCTCTGGGATAAGCAGCTCAGGTGTGAATCTGCCTAGAAGAGGCTTTTCTCTGTGCTAGTGTCTTGGAGTGGCTGATTGCTTCTAGAGTATTTGCCTAATGCCTGGTGTGTGTCTGAGAGTGTCCCTCCCCTCCCCCCTGGGGTGTGCAATTTATTTTTCTTTTCCCTTTTCTTCCTTTTCCTCCCACTCCTCTTTCCCATCCCCATTCTCACTCCTAGAGTGACTGAGTGACAGGGCTTGCTCTGGGTGGGGCTGGTTTTAGGTAATTGAGAGGTGGAGCTAGGGTAGACAGCCTTATAAAAAGGTAGCCCCTAGCAAACTGTGGGAGCAGTGAACAGACAGCAGCAAAAAGAGAAGGAGTTTGCCTAGGGAGTTTGTCCCAGGAGGGAGCCAGGGAGAAAGAGACTGTGCCTGTGCATTTGTGTGTGGGTGGGAGCATGGGCAAGGGCCCTGGTGCGGGTGCTTGGTGTGCAAGTTTCATAGTTTCATAGTTGTTAGGGTCAGAAGGGACCTCAATAGATCATCAAGTCTGACCTGCTGCCCTGGGCAGGTAAGAGTTCTGGGGTCATATGACCCCAGCCGGGTGCTTGTCCATCCTCCTCTTAAAGACCCCCAAGGTAGGGAAGAGCACCACCTCCCTTGGAAGCCCATTCCAGATTCTGGCAACTCTTACCATAAAGTTCTTCCTGATATAATCTGCTCTCTGCCAGTTTGTGGCCAGTTCTTGCGGTGTTTCTTTTTTCTCTCTCTCTGCCCCCTTCTTTATTTTATCCTTACAACACAGGTGTACTCCAGGGAGCAAAGGAGGCACAAATGGAGTCTGGATCAGCTGCTGTGACCTGTGTGGGGTCCCAAGAGGGTAAAGAGCACTTCATTTGCACCAAGTATAAGCTGGTGTCTGCCCTGAAGGAGAAGATCCAGAGATTTGATGCACAGGAATCCATGCTGCATTAAATCTGGGACCAGGAATATTACTTGGATTAGAGTTATGAGAGAGGCCAAAAGGCAGTGAGAAGTGGCAGTGTGTGACTACTCAAAGGAGGAGGGCCCCCAGTATTGAAGAGGAACCAATTGAAGTCAGAAACTGCTTTCCAGCAGCCTGCAATGGAACTGAAGAAGAGGCAGAGGAGAGGGCATCTGCAGGCATGAGGCAGAGGAGGCAGCAGCTTAGAGAGTGGAAAGTGCAAAACCCCAAGAACAGGGGCTCCAGGACCACTGAACCAAGAAGGAAAAGAAGAGTGGTGGTGGTTGGTGACTCGTTTCTGTGGGGAACCCAGGCACCAATTTGTTGTCAAAATGTGGGGCCCAGGAGATGCACTGCCTGCCTGGAGCCAAATTCATAGATTTCATAGACATCAGGGCTGGAAGGGACCTCGGACGATCATCGAGTCCAGCCCCCCCGCCCAAAGGGCAGGAAGTCAGCTGGGGTCATAGGATCCCAGCAAGATAAGCATCCAGTTTCATC